TTAAATATAAAAAAATATAATTAAATATAAAAAAATATAATTAAATATAAAAAAATATAATTAAATATAAAAAAATATAATTAAGTATAAAAAAAATATAAATAAACGTAATTAAATAAGTAAACAAGTAAATAAATATCACCACAGTGTCGTTAACCATCAGATTTCATCACTCTTTCGTCAAATTCTGTTTGAACCGGCACGAAGTGTCATGGCGTTATTGCGCAATGCCATTGCATCTTCCATTATCTTCCATTACAGCCTTGAAACAGAAAATACAGCATAATTTAATTAAATTATAATAATGACAGTCACATTAGAATTGTTGTCCACAGAAGTTAAAAGAAAAGAAATATTTCACTATTAAGGCAGAAAGGAACCTCACAACACAAAAGGAAGGAAATAATATGATTGAACAGGACGGTCAAATAAAAATTCTGAGAATAAGGGTAAGAAATTACCAGATTTTCCGCGAGATCCGAGCACGTCTGTCCACTTCAAATTTCGGCAAGAGACTGGACACTTGTTGAGCTCTCTGAACCGCGAGACCCTCGGAAAGTGGAGGGGAGACCAATCAGCGGCCGCCATCGCACATCAGGTGGACGACCCAGTCCCCACTCTGCTTACTAACACAGAGAGAGAAACGCATATTATTTGTATCGATGTAAGTCATTACCCCATGGAAACCAAATATTTTACTCAAGGTCGCACTTGCTATTGCGCATCTATTTTTACCAGTCGAAACTAACGACTTCCAAATTTTCGCATTTATTATATGAGCCATGCTTTCTTCTTTACAGGATGAATTAATAACACAAAACTTAGATTTAAAATTTGGATTTAACTATTTGAATTAAAATTGTTTATATAATGAAGCTTCTATTGAAATATATTTAATAATATTTTAATTTTAATTATTATATAACGAAAATAAAAGACTGTAAGAGAATGAAGAAGTACAGAATATTTACACGTGTTAACACATTAAATGCCTGACAATTTTCAAATGTTTTGCGATATACATAACATAAATATAATATCAAATTGTTTAATTGAATTGCGTCATCATTCTTCAGATGTTCATCTTTGGGAATATCATCACTTTACATTATTCATAATACGACGAATAAAGTTTACTAACAATTATTGTAAATTGATCAAATTATAGCAATTTAATTATTGTTAATTAGGTGTTATTAGTGATTCTCACAGTGCCATCGAAAAATCGAGTCCTTGTCATCGATGATCACTACGACAATCAATCTGTTAATAAAAATCCCGTTTCTACAGTGTAATATTCAATAAATACTATGTATTGTTATTGTTCGCGCCAAATGTATTCGTTCCCGCCAAATGTATCCGTTCCCGCCAAATGTTATTCGTTCCCGCCAAATGTACTCGTTCCCGCCAAATGCATTTGTTCCCGCCAATTTAAACAACGGTGTGAATTTCACGAAACAGCAGTTCCGGTATTTTTCCAGAGATCGCGCTACCAGTGATGTTCACGAAAATTTTTTGTATTTGTATAATTGTAAAATGATATAGGGATAGCTGAAATATCACTCAACATAAACAGAAAATTTATTGTTAGCATAAATAATATATTACATCTTTTCAAATTTATTTTGAACTCATGAATAAATGTAAGATTTAGTAGAATATCACTTTATGATACAGCCAATTGATTCGACCATGACTATGGCATGGTATTTCCCACGCATCGGTGTAAAATAATAATGAACATAAATCAATGTAATGACACGTAAATTACAGGTTCAACTAATTTCTACTACGCCAATAAAATGAGAGTAGAGGAAAAGGAAAAATACATTAAAAAAAAGACGAATATATTTATATAATGAGTTGAAAAGATTGCGCAAGACGGTCTTCCGATCACGCCGGTTAGTGATAGCATTAAACCGTGCAAAATTCTGTTGTATTTCATTTCATTTAAAACAGTTGATTGTTTTGGTTCGCGAAGTCAATACGCATAGAAACAGATGAACCAGCTCATAAACCGGGCAATTCTAGTCGGCGAACGATCGTCGCTTAGTTGTCTTGTAAAAGGATTTCGTACATCATCTCAAAACATGGTTATCGCTGTAAGTCGGTTACATATAATTTGTTTAATACTTGATTCAAAACAAAATAAATAATAATTTTCCATTATTATAATTGTTATAGTTACTGAAATATGGTTATAATCATTAATACATATTCCGATAAATTTAGGTCGGCGACAAGCTTCCTCCGATTGATCTTTTTGAAGATTCACCAGCTAATAAAGTGAATCTTGCAAAAATCGCATCTGGCAAAAAAATCATTGTTTTTGCAGTGCCTGGAGCATTTACGCCAGGATGTTCAAAGGTAGTTTGAATTTTCCTGCAAATCTTTTGATAATATTATTACAAAATAATATTTATTTTTCTTAACAATAAATTTGTAATTATGACCTTATGATATCCTTCATAAATGTGATTTTTTCAGACATAACTTGTAATTAATAATTACTACAGCTTTTTTATATATAAAGAGTAAAGAGAAAATAATATTGTATCTAATATGTATATTGTTTTAGACTCATCTTCCAGGATATATACAAAAATCTGGAGATTTAAAATCTAAAGGAATTGCTGAAATCTTTTGTGTGGCTGTAAATGATCCATTTGTTATGGCTGCTTGGGGAAAAGAACATGGTGCAGAAGGCAAGGTATTGTGAATTGTTCAGTAACTTAATAAATTTAGTTCTGTATTTGTTACTAGTATTATAAGTTATGTATTTGTCCAAAATAGGTGCGAATGTTGGCAGATCCTGCATGTGAATTCACAGATGCATTAGAACTATCTGTAGATCTGGCTGTATTGGGTGGTAAACGAAGCAAACGATACTCGATGCTTCTTGAAGATGGAGTAGTTAAAGAATTAAATGTTGAACCTGATAACACAGGACTTTCTTGTTCTTTGGCTGAAAATATCAAGTTGTAAAAGCCATATTAAATATTATGTAGTACATTTAATATAATTAATATGGGTTAACAATATCTTATCTTAACTTATCAATTCTGTTGTCATTGTTAAAAATGTATGTAATAAACTGAGTATTCATTATTCTGTAATAATGTTTTATTATTTAAAATTAGAATTATCATAACTACAAAAGTAGAAGATACTTTGTTACGTGTCAGACTTCTTGTTATAAGTATCTTAATGGGGCAATTCAATGCAAATTAGTATTTGATTTATACTGTATACTATATTAATGGTAATAAATAGTGGTAAATTAAAAAAAGTATTTATGAAAAAAATATGTTAAAGTAAACACATATGACGTTTTCGGGGACGTGACACAACGCTGACATAAATGCTATAGTATATGCTGAAATAAACATTTCTTTGAATACTATTTCGTTATTAAATAAATACATTAGAAAAGCATTTTAGTGAAATATGAGTAATTTAATGGTTCAAGCATTCAGCATAATTTGAAAAAATGACGCAAACTTGTATTTGATCTTTGTACTAATTGTAAAATATATTGAAAACAGACACAATTCTGTACAAATGAATGGACCAATAAAAATGCTTGAAAACTGTTGTTTATACTAGGGAAATCTTTATTAATATTTGCAGATAGACAATTTTTATTCATAACGGAATATAATCTGTACAATTCTAAAAATGTTATTCATATACGGTTAATGAAAAATCTTGGAATTGTCCACCATGTTTATGTGACTAATTTCAGGTCGAAACGTAAGACCAATTGTTGATATATCGTGCTTGTTTGTGTTGAAAACTTTATGGCGGCAATTATGCCACTTTGCTGTTACGTGTAAAATTTTTTTATTGACTTCAAAAATGCCGGCGTTTTTAAAGCATATCGAAGTAGAAAATTTTAAGTCATATAAAGGAAAACTTATCATAGGCCCTTTGAAATCATTTACTGCTGTTGTTGGACCAAATGGATCTGGTAGGTTATGTTTTTAACTGTAGCAATAGTAGTTAGTTTTGAATTCAAGACATTATATACACATTCCACTTCGATACAGGAAAATCTAATTTTATGGATGCAATCAGTTTTGTGATGGGAGAAAAAACAAGTAGTTTACGTGTAAAACGTTTTAGTGAGCTTATTCATGGGGCATCAATAGGAATGCCAGTTGCTCGAAGGTATTTCTTGGTCCATTTACTAAAATATAGACTAATATGAAAATGAAACGGATTTTTTTCATAGTAATTTGAAAAACTACAACTTTATGTATAATTGATACAAATTATTATAATGTACATAGGTAAAAATTATGGTACATGATAAAAGTGGTTGTTTACATTACAGCGCATCCGTAACTGCGGTGTTTGAATTAGAAGATGGCAACGAGAAAAGTTTTATGCGTTCTGTACAAGGGTCTTCCTCTGAACATAGAATAAATAATAATGTTGGTACAATGTTTTCATGTAAACAATATTATTAGTTCATTTAAAAAATGAACATTTTAAACATTTTATGTATTCATTGCATAGGTTGTCACTAGCCAAGTATATTTGAACGAATTAGAACAACTTGGCATTAATGTGAAAGCAAAAAATTTTCTTGTATTCCAAGGAGCTGTTGAGTCGATAGCTATGAAAAACCCAAAAGAACGTACTGCTCTTTTTGAAGAAATTAGTAATTCAGGAGCATTGAAGGCAGAGTATGAAAGGTATATTAAATCTTTTTGTGTCATTTATAAATTTTGTTTACAAAACATATGTTTGAATCATCTTTCCAAATATCTCGCAGATTGAGAACAGAAATGCTAAAAGCTGAAGAGGAAACGCAATTTTCATATCAAAAGAAAAAGGGAATTGCTGCAGAAAGGAAAGAAGCGAAACTGGAAAAAGAAGAAGCAGAGAAATATCAACGTTTGAAAGAGGAATATGTACATAGTTGATTTTTTTATGTTACTTAAGAGACTTACTAGAAGTTACTTACTACAGACTTATTTAATAACATTTAATGTATAAGTAAACTACAATAATTTTTCATTTACATTATTTCTGTTATTGTAGGTAGAAAAGCAAGTTGAATTGCAATTATTCCGTTTATTTCATAATGAGAAAAGTACAGAGAGTTTAGAGGTATCACAGAAGAAGAAACAGCATGAAATAGAAAAAATTGAAAAGAAAAAAGAAAAAGCAGAGGAATTACTAAAAGAAAAGAGGAAAGAAGCTGGAAAGTTGGGAAGAGATCTTGCTAAAATAGAACAGGATATAAGAGAAGTAGAAGTAGATATAACAAAGAAAAGACCAACATTTATTAAAGCAAAAGAACGTGTTGCGCATATGCAGAAAAAAGTAGAGTCTGCACGGAAATCTTTAGCTCAAGCACGTATCGCGGATGAAGCTCATAAGAAAGATATACATGAACTGCAGGAAGAGTTACGTCAAGTTGAAGAAGCTAAAGCCGCTTATGAAGCAAGTATTGCTGGACAATCACAGTTACAAGGAAGAGATGTACAGCTAGAAGATGAACAGGTATGTATATAAATATAATTTGTTCTAATATGGTTACAGTTTTCGAAATAATATGATAAACTAACAATAATATAATTATTGTAAATTGAATTTAAGGTTAAAGAGTACAATCGTCTGAAAGAGGAAGCTGGTAAACAATCAGCAATGTATTTGCAACTTCTTGACTCTATCAATCGTGAACAGAAATCGGATCAAGATAGACTTGATAATGAAGGACGGAAGAAAACAGAAATAGAGAATAAACATAAACAAAAAGGTCATATGAGAGATGAAGCTCTTAAAAGAGTAGAAAAATTAGAAGAACATATAAGAACATCTGAAGCTGCTTTGGAAGATCAAAAGAAATTGCGAGCGGATTTACAATCTGACGTTGGTATCTCTAAAGATAAAATACAAAATCTACAACGAGAATTAGAAAGCATCTCTGAACAATTAGGTGATGCAAAGGTTGATAAACACGAGGTATCAAGGACTAAAAAGAAAACTGAAATTGTAGAAAATTTCAAACGCCTTTTCCCAGGGGTTGTAAGTAATTTGTGTTCATTGTTGTTATTGTGAGAGTTTTATTTTAATTATTATTGTTATAACTTTTCAGTATGATCGTATGTATAATATGTGCGAACCTATTCATAAGAGATATAACGTTGCAATTACTAAAGTTCTTGGTAAATATATGGAAGCTATTGTTGTTGATACTGAGAAAACTGCTAGGCAATGTATTCAATATCTTAAGGAACAGTATCTTGAACCAGAAACATTTCTTCCTCTTGATTACATTCAAGCGAAACCATTGAAAGAAAGACTTAGGTATGTAGCTAAAACTGAAATAATTAATTTAATTGTAATATTACATTATACAACGTACTGTGTGTTTTCAGGAATATTCAAGAACCTAAAAATGTAAAATTATTGTATGATGTATTGCACTTTTCTCCAAAAGATATTGATAGGGCAGTATTATTTGCAACCAACAATGCTCTTGTATGCGAAACTCCTGAAGATGCAAATAAAGTAGCTTATGAAATGGATAAGAAAGCAAGATACGATGTATGAACATTGCTTACTTATTACTAGTTTTAAATACCAGACTAATTCCAATGATTTATATTTGTAATCGTTCTCATTTACAGTGCGTTGCATTAGATGGAACATTTTATCAAAAAGCTGGAATTATATCAGGTGGTAGTTTGGATCTTGCGAAAAAAGCAAAACGATGGGATGAAAAACAAATGTCACAACTTAAAGCACAAAAGGCAAGATACTTTTACTTTAAATATAATGTCTTTTTCGCTTAACGCTATAATGTATTTTAAACATTTTATAGGAAAAATTAACAGAGGAATTGCGTGAATCTTTAAAAAAGTCACGAAAGGAATCTGAGTTAAACACAGTTGAATCTCAAATACGGGGATTAGAAACACGGTTAAAATATAGTAAAAATGATTTGGTCGAAACTGTAAGTAGAATAATACATAGTGTAATAATTAACATTAATTTATTAAATAATTACTTAAATATTATATTACATTTATTACAGCAAAAACAAATTTCAGCGCTTGAGGTAGAACTGGAGGGTCTTCAAAACGAATTGAATATGTTTGGTGTAAGTGTGATGTCTTTTTTGTGTGTATTGAAATTTATCGAAACTGTAATTGAATTTGTAAAATTTGCATCTGTAGCCAACAATAACTGCAATTGAGAAAACAATGGCCGAAAGGGATCAAAAAATACAAAATATTAAAGAGAAAATGAATAACGTCGAAGATGACGTATTTGCCAGTTTTTGTGAACAAATAGGAGTATCTAATATTCGTCAGTACGAAGAAAGGGAGTTACGGTATGCATTATTTATGATAATATTAAAAATTATCTTAAAGCCTTAAACTTTGTAGCTAATAGAAATTATGTTTATTATACATATTTATCTAATCAGAAAATGCAATTATAATGATCAAATTTCAGATCACAACAAGAAAGAGCAAAAAAGAGAATGGAATTTGAGAACCAATGTAATCGCATTTACAATCAGCTAGACTTTGAGAAGCAACGAGACACAGAAAGTAAGCATTTAATTAATTGCTCGCTTTGAATAATAGTTGAGTAAAGGTATTTACTAATTTCTTCATATATCATTTGTTAGGTAATGTTTTACGTTGGGAACGAGCAGTTCAAGATGCAGAAGATAAACTTGAGTCTGCTCGGCAAACTGAATCTAATCAGAAAGCTGAAATAGATCACGATGAAACTCAAATGGAACAATATAAATCGGCACGAAATGCAAAGAAAATGGAAGTCGACCAAAAAGAAGATGAAATCGGTAAAGCTAGGCGTGAGGTTGGAGCAATTGCGAAGGATATACAAGCTGCTCAAAAGCAGTTGAATGGTATCGAAGCCAAAATTGAACAAAAGAAAGCTGAACGGCATGCTATACTGATGCAGTGTAAGGTATGTCATAAAATAAAATAAATGTATGTTTACTTTACCTTTCTATGGTCATACCATATGGAACCTTTGTATACATATATGTAGAACGGTGATTACACTTCTGTGATCTTGTTATTAGCTGAGAGTTCGTTTGGTGATTACTAGAAATGTGAATGACTACAGAAATATCAGTTTTCGCTGACTCACATTATAGTAAAATGAAATTCGAACTCTCTCGTTCATTTATTACTATTCATTTCTTTAATTGTCTGCAAGATTGCAATGTAATTACAAAACACGTAACTAAACATAATTACAAAGAGAGAACTTTGTAGTTCTCAACATTTTATCTAATTACCGTTTTTAAATAGTTATATGTATAGAAACAATAATAACAATAATAACACTTAGATGGAAGATATTTCAATTCCAATGCTTCATGGAAATATGGAGGATATTGCCAACGAAACGAGTGCATCTAATAACACAGATAGTAATATCGACTCATCTTTAAGTACTCAACAACAATATGAGCGTGAGAAACGAATAACTATAGATTATGCCTTTCTACCTGAGAATTTAAAAGATGTAGATGAAGATGACATTAAAAAAACTACTGACAAGTTAACAAAGTCGATTAACGATTTACAAAGTACTATTCAACGAATTCAGGCTCCTAATATGAAGGTAATGAATAATTTCATAAAGTTCTGCAAACCGTAATCGTTTCACAACAAATGAAAAGTAGTAATAAAAACATATGGATTAAAAACAAAAAGTCATTAATGTTCGAGTATTTATGATATTTTTAGGCGATACAAAAATTATATCTCGCTAAGGAAAAATTACAAGAAACTAACGAAGAATTTGAACAGTCACGGAAAAAGGCAAAGAAAGCAAAAACACAATTCGAAAAAATAAAGAAGGAGAGACATGACAGGTTTATGGCCTGTTTTGAACATGTGGCTAATGAAATTGATCCAATTTATAAGGTTGCTTTTTGTAAATAGATTATATTAATTTTTTATTTACACACAAATAATATATCAAAATCATTGGGATTTTAGAGTTTAGCAAAAAATCAATCGGCCCAAGCATTTCTTGGTCCAGAAAATCCAGAAGAACCGTATCTAGATGGTATTAATTATAATTGCGTTGCACCGGGAAAAAGATTTCAACCAATGTCTAATTTGTCTGGAGGAGAGAAAACAGTTGCTGCATTGGCTTTATTATTTGCAATTCATAGGTAATTTTATATACGCAATTATCACTTTTAGTATGTTTGTATTTTTCAAGTTGAATATTAATGACATCGTTTATGTGTTTACAGTTTTCAGCCAGCACCATTTTTTGTATTGGATGAAATAGATGCAGCACTGGATAATACTAATATAGGAAAAGTTGCAAGTTATATACGTGATAAGACAAGTTCATTACAAACTATTGTTATATCTTTGAAGGAAGAGTTTTATTCACATGCTGATGCGTTAATTGGCATTTGTCCTGATGTGAGCTGATGTCCATTCATATTATACATTTGTGAATTTATAAATGTGCAACATTTATCAAAATTATTAATCACTTTTTAAATTTCAGGTTGGCGAATGTTTAGAAAGTAAAGTATTAACTCTCGATTTATCTGCATATCCTACGCACATTAATTAATGAACATATTATAGATTTAATATTTATATATTTCACCTTTAATTGTTATGTCTTTTTTTTTCATATTGTAATTTTAATTTACATGAAAAGACAGTAGGTGTTATGGGTAATATCGAAATAGATAATATCCACTTTTATAAATTATTTCGTGAAACTTATAACCAAAATTAATAACTCGCTAAGATAAAAATCAAGTAATATATGAAATATTAAATATTTTATTTTTATTTGATTTACTTTCTCGTGGTGTTTTGTTTTTCACAACTACATAATAGTGTGATTCTATTTTAATCATCAATAGATGAGGATTTGACAAAGATTTATTATTTAACTTCTAATTTACAACAGAAAAATTGCCTTGAGCATTGTAAAAGAAATTGTAGTTCTATAATAAATTATTAATATAAACATAAAAATAAATCAAAATATTTTTAAGTATGTCAGATAGAATTATCATTGTTACATGTATACAAACGTGCACTTATTGTTTATGATAATTCTCATAATGGTGTCAGTATACATAAATTTTTCACTTTCCTTGGATATACGAATAACTTCATAGATCTAAACATAAGAAATTGATTAACTTTTGTATTTGTATAAAAGCGACGAAAGGGTAATAGTTAATAAAGTCATAATAACAAAAATAAGTAAGAATGATCGTTAGAATATGAATCTAATTAACTTCTAATATTAAAAAAATGATCTTTTTTCTATTTTTCTATATTTTCAATTAGATTCACTTAATTAGATTTATAAATGCATTATGAATCTTAACAGGAAATTTATTAGATTTTTCAAATATCAATCTGACAAATTTATTCATATTACTTCTCTCTGTATAAATTAAATAATAGCGAAGAAATTATTAAATGGGTATTAGCATAACAATAACAATAATAGTTAAGAACAAATGAAGTTATGTTGTATCGTATCTTCTCCATCTTTATTTCAAATTTGAAGTACGAATATGATGTATCATACAAATATACGGATATTGAAACCATGCGATACCCATTGAGACCAAAAGTGCGTGTAACATTCAATTAATCTCAACAGTCGAGATGAAACTGATGCAGTAACCATCCCAGGATCTGCAGTTCTCGTTCGAATATATTTAACAGTTTGGTGTAATTATCATTAAAG